GCTAGAGATCAATGGCATCCAATTTTCACTGTGGAACGTACCCTGGCTGATAAACTTTCTAAAGACGTCAACAAATAATAATTTTAAATTAGTAATTTTATACATTAGAGTAATCATTTTTACCTCATAAAGTATCGAGTATATCAAGTCTATGTCCCATTTTACGCAGACTATAATAAAATTCCATTACAGTATTTTACTTTAACGACATCAAGAGATTTGATCATAGAGATTTACAACTGTATACATGGTGCAGATTGAAGAACGCCTCCATCAGGAGCCAAACTGATTTTATATTACCAAGAGATAAAGGAAAAATGAGAGTTCTTGATGTAAGAGCAAAACCTAATGGTCTATGTGTCACCGACCATAAAATAGTTGTGATGAAAGCAAAATATCTCGTCTTCAAGAAACGCAGGGAGGAATTAACTGAACACCATGATCTCATCAGGATAGTAAGTCTGAAACAAGAAGGAGTAAAAGAACGGTTACGAAAGAAAGTAGAGACAGCATTTAAACAACTATCATCTGTGGTTGGGAATACTGAGGATGAATGGAGTGTATATAAAACCACTGTGCTTAGTACTGCCAAAGAATTATGAGGAAAAAGAAAGAGAGGAAGCAGATGGAATTGTAACAAATATTCGCCTTAGTGGTGTGAAGAAGTAAAAGAAGCAGTTAAGAAGAAAAGAAAATTGTTTACACAGTGGATAAAATCGAAGAGAGATGATGATTATGTCAGCTATAGATTGCATCGAAGAGACACTAACCATTATTTCAGCTACAGACTACATCAAAGAGACACCAACCAGGCGATTAAGAAAGTAAAACAAGAATCGTGGGAATGTTTTGGAGAGTCATTAGCAGGAAGCCAGAAAACAGCCAGCAGAACATTTGTCGAAGTAGTAAAAACTATGCGAAAAAGAGATGACAGCTACAATCCAACAGTAGTAATTAACGGTAAACAGGACAACCATTAACAGACCCATCATAGATAGCTGAAAGATGGAGAGAATACTTCAGTGGCTCTTTAACCCCTAGGAGACTGCCATGAAAGAACAACCAAGGACAACAAAGCATCAGTGCTAGAACCTGATATACTAATTACTGAAGTAGTTAGAGTCATTAAACAGTCCCCCAAATGAGTTGAGTTGAGTTTAGTCAAGAATTTACATTACAGCACTCGGGGAATTCCCATGTGTGCTCCGTCCTCATCTTCAGTAGCCAGCGCAGAGTTCCAGTACTGATGGTACCGGTCACAATCTGGTTATATGTCCGTCTTGCCTTTCCTCTGAGTGTAGTGAGCCGGCCAGACCCTCTGGTTACACCCAGGTGCCTCATTCTCTCCAGACCATAAATCTTTTTCTACTTATTCCGTTGCTTGTTCCTAAAGGGCCTTGACCGCATCTGCCTTTGTATCAATTCACCATCCAGTGGTGCAGATCCAGTTAATCTGTCTGCCTGTTCATTACCGACTACACCGGCTTGGCCTGGAGAAAAGATCCAAAGTATGCTCACTACCCATGACCTTCCCAACAAAGCTTGCCACTCTGCTCGAAGCATCCCAGTTTTCACCTTTCTCAGCAAGCTTTCAGAGTCTGTTACAATTACAACATGTGTATGCATCTTGTTCTCTAGCCACCAGAGAGCTGCAGTTACTGCCTCCACCTCCCTTCACATGCTAGATGTTGTGATGTCGCATGCTAAGCTGTCTTGCATTAAAGATTTTCCATTGGCTTTTGTTATGAACCCCCAGGCACTTCTCTTTCATCTCAACACCGAACCATCTGTGTAATCAGATCGCCTGGGCATGAATTGTTGTGAATCAACTGTTAGATTTCCACCTCCGTAGCACCCACTGGCCACTCTCTGTACTCCCGATCTAATGTGATCATAACCCTACACAGGTCAGACTTTTCTCTGACCCACTCCTCTCCTTGCCCAATGTTCTCCAGCATGCATACTTGTGTTATTGTGTCTTCTGCTTGAGCCATCCATTATTTTTCCCTTGTCAGCCTTTTCCTTACCTGCAGCCAAAGCTGCAGAACAACTTAGGGTGTTCTTTGTCTGCAGCTACTCTGAGGTATGACTTAGCCTGCAGCACCTTTAGCCTATCTGCAATAGTCGGCAATGCAAGGATGTATCGCATGCACACAATCGGGGTGTCTCTTGTTTATCCCAGGATCTCCCGCAAGGCTTCATTCTGTATGTGTTTCAGTTTTTCTAGTTGACTCTTCGAGACAGTGAGTAACCCCAATCCATAATAAATCTCTGAGATGATTAAAATAAATCCCCCAAATATAAAGCACCCAGAGCTGATCGACTACCAACAGAGATAATCCAAGCAGCAGGTAAAAGCAACATTAGATATCTCCACAGAATATTCAATGCAGCATGGGTACAACAAACTGCTTCCATTGACTGACAACATGCAATAGTTGCACCATTGTGGAAGAACAAGGGAAGCAAGTGAGAATGCAATCAATATCGAGGTATCTCTCTTTTAAGTCAAGTTGGGATTATGTATGCTAAGATAATAGAAATGAGGCTGCGACCAGTGATAGAACCACAGTTGAAAGAAGAACAGATGTGTTTCAGAAGAAATAAAAGCTGCACAGATACAATCTTCACACTTAAACAGTTAATAGAAAAGAACATCAAATATGATCAGGACTTATTTGTAGACCAGGAGAAAGCTTTCGACAGGGTCGATAGACAAATATTATGGAAAATAATGGCTCGATATAGAGTAAGTGAACAGCTCACTAAAGTTTGCAAAAGCTTATATAGTGACTGTAAAAGCATAGTTAGAATAAATCAGGGAACATCCAAACCATTCAAAGTAACATCTGGAGTAAGACAGGGGTGTGTCTTATCCCCAATCACGTTTATCACCTACATTTACAGTAAAAGCAAGGATGCCAGGCCCAGGAACAAAAATAATATTAACATCAACGAATTACTCTTTGCTGATGACCAGGCCTTGATTGCAGATACAGCCATGAATTTGCAACTGCATCTCACATTCATGAATGAAAAATGTGAATCAAATCAACATCGAAAAGACAGAAGTAATGTCAATAGAAAGATAGAAGCAGAATTTAATTATAGCATTAGAGCATACATACATAAGACAGGCATCTGTAATTAAATATCTTGGAACAACATTCACTGAAGATGGTAAATTGGATAAAGAAATGGACATCTGATGCAGTAAAGTAGGCCAGGTATTGGAACAGCTAGATCCCTTCTTACAGCATAAGGCCATCCCAATCAGCACAAAGAGAGGCTCTCCTTTGAATCAACTCCCGAAATGGCGGCTTTAATATGATGGCGTTCGAAAGAGAGCTAAATTGGCCAATTTCTTGCCATAAAATAACCAAAAATATCCCAATGCGGGTCAGTTTTATTAAAAATATATGTGCCGGCTCCGGATAACGAAACAAATGCTCTGACAGGGTCTCAGCGATACGCTACTTGCCGACCTGCTTCTGCGAGTGTGCCTCACCGCCAAGTGTATCCCCCGCGCCGCTACACGCGGCACGGATGGGGACTAAACTAGATGGCTGGGACTCACGAGCGGCAGCTACCGCATCTCCTGCAACTTCCTCCAATTACTGTACTCGTGAGCCCCACCCCATCCGCGCCGCACATAGCGGCGCAGGGGATATGCTCAGCGATGAGTTCAATCGCTTTTGGCGCATGCCGACAAGTCTGACATCTACCGCTGCTAAATCCTCCAATCGGAAGAACACAGTATTGCTAATCAGCTTTCATCGTCTGTAATGTCTCGAAATTGGTCAACGGTCGCTAATATCGTCTGCAGAAATGCTCGAAATTGTTGTCAACGGTCGGTATTTATCGTCTGCTACTACCGTGTGCAAATGTTGATATTGATTGTCAAGTAATCCTAGTTTTGCCGTGATTTGTTCCTTGGCAGAAAGTCCGTATTTTAGATATACGCGAACACCGCCGTTCGGATATTTTTTGGATATTTTATGGGCAGAATGTGGCAGGGCGCCATTTTGGGGGTTGATTCAAAGGAGAGCCCAAAGAGACATCTCATACAAAGCATATTCATTCCCACCCTATACTAGTATTAGTGCCAGGCGTGGTCACTCACAACAAAGCATAAAAGGAAATTAGTAACCATGGAAATAAGATGTCCGAGAAAGACTATAGGCGTGAACAGAAAAGATAAAATTATAATTAGCAATGGCAATGAGGTCATCATACGAGATAATGTTGGCAAAGAACCAGTTTTAAATTACATACAAAGACAGCAAATCAAATGGTTTGCTCACTTGGAGAGAATGCTTTCTGATGCTATACCATACAAGGCATATACCGAAAGAGGTGCAGGACGCAGAGCAAGAGGCAGACCAAGAAGTCTACAACACTGGCACTATGGCCCAAGCAGCCAGAAGAGCACGAAGCAGGACCTTACCTTTGACACCCGAAGCGGTAAAAGAAGAAGACTTTAACCGTTAACGACTGACACAGTTGGGGAAAGTATATAAATAATAGTAATATTATTTTGTTTTAACTTACAATGTTAGTAATAATATAGTAATATAGTAACTTAAGTAACATTGACATTAATAATTTGTTACTTCAAAATGCCCGCCGCAAAATGAATCCATTGATTGAAAACATCCAAAGTAAAAACCTTGATTTAATCCATCTGAATGCTTACGACCTTGTATAACACTAATTCCTACCTAAAATGTGTATCTTGTTCTAAAAACGGTGAGGTTTTTCTTCTTTTCTTCCTCTTTTTTGAACATTGATGAATTCAAAACCACAGTACATAATCTTAGTTTCGTTTCTTCTGTCCGCTCCATATTCTTCAGAACTTCCTTGGTTACTGGTGGTTGCGTGGTGTCAACAAATTGGGGATTCTGCAGGGAACAGATGCCCACCCGTTTATATTGTTTGTAGATTTCGGAGTCAAAGAAATTCTCTGTTTTATAATCTTTTACAACATTACCACGTGAACAATGATGGCCTCAGGTTATATGCCGCGTACCAGAGAGTACAGGGGAATTCAGCCTAATTCTGTTGCTATTGTAAGCAAAAATTATGAATTATATTTATATAATTATTATAATAAGTATAAAAATCAAATTAAAACAATTGTTTACGTCACACTAGCAGCACGATTACAAGTATTTCCACTTGTTTTATCATGCCTATATAAATCCAGCATGTTTTTTTAAACATATATTTAATTGTGATAACATTCAATCAATTTTATGAAAACGTTAATTTCTTTAAAAGAGATTAGCTTGTTATTTCTCCTATACATAATGTAATGTGGAAATTGACAGCTGTAGATTTAAAAATAATTGTAAATGACTTGGTGGTTTTTGTGGTTATGACTATAAGACAGCCTTTAATTGACAGTTACATTGAAAGAATTCAGTGTGGATTGAAATTTTTGCTATATTGTAATTGTAGCTTAAAAACAATCAAATTTACAGTATTATATACTCAGCTTTATAAAAATGATGTTACCATATTTCTCCAAGTATAAGATGATCTCATAAATAAGATAAGCCTTGATTTTGGGACCGGAAATTGCGGGGGAAAAAAATTAGGCTCTTCTTTCAATACTGGACGGTAGCTGGAAAGCCGCCGATCGGCTTAGTGGGAGTTCTCTCCCTTTGCTGCATTGCAAACACGGAGCGGAAAAGTCACGAATCAAATGACATACTTACCTATAATCATACGGTTGCGTGTACGGTTGCGTAGTCATCATACGGTTGCGTAGGGTTTGATTTAGGGATAGGGTTAGGGGTTGGGTGAGGCTTAGGGTTAGGGTGTGGGTTAGGGTTAGGGGTAGGGTTAGATGTGAAAAATAGTCAACATAATTGCTCTCTTCTATAAAGACTTTTCCTGCAGTATAAAAAATTACAATACATCTTTCCCAGTAAAGACGGGTGTAAGACAGGGATGTGTTATGTCATCTCTCCTCTTCAACCTTTTGATTGATTGGATACTAAAGAACACAGTAGACAGGACATTAAGAGGCATACGATGGACTCCATTCACCATGCTTGAGGACCTTGATTTTGCAGATGATATAGCACTCCTATCACATAAACATGAACATATACAAGAGAAAAGTAACTGACTAAACTGCACAGCATAAATGGTGGGACTGAGAATAAATACAAAGAAAACTAAGATCATGACAAACAGTCCAAACCAACAACCAGTGACCATAAGTAACCAATCACTTGAAAATGTAGAACATTTCACATATCTTGGCAGTGTGGTGTCCCTACTGGGAGGGACAGAGGAAGACATACAGTCACGTCTGAACAAAGCTAAAGCTGCTTTTGGAAGGATGAGGCAAATCTGGAAATCCAACAATTACTGCAGAGGAACGAAACTCCGACTCTATAAGAGCATCATTTTGCCAGTTCTTCTTTATGGAGCGGAATGCTGGAGAATGACCAAAAAGGTGCACACAAGCTGTCCACCTTCCACTACACATGTCAACGTAGAATTATCAAAATTTTCTGGCCAGATACAATCTCAAACACTAAACTACTTCAAGCCACAAACCAAGAAACTTTATACAGTATGATTACCAAGAGAAGATGGAAATGGCTTGGCCACGTTATGAGAATGACTTCTGATATACCTGCCAAAACAGCTCTCACATGGACACCAGAGGGAAAGAGAAAACAGGGGCGCCCAAAAACAACATGGAGATGAACGATAGAAAGTGACCTGAGTACGGCATCTTTGACATGGAAAACTGCACTGAAGATTGCACAGGACAGGAAAGCATGGAAAGTCCTCTCTGAAGCCTCATGTGCCACTAGGCATAACGAGAACTGATACTGAAAGCATACAGATCGGCAAAAAACAAAAACAGATGTCCCTGTAGCATAAAAAAAAAACACCCAGATATGGGGGACACAACCAAGCATTGGCAGCCCTGATGTCGACCTCACTGTCTTCTTTGATTCGTGACTTTTCCGCTCCGTGTTTGCAATGCAGCCACGGGAGAGAACTCCCACTAAGCCGATCGGCGGCTTTCCAGCTACCGTCCAGTATTGAAAGAAGAGCCAAAAATTAATATGATAACTGAATTCTTCAGTCCCAAGAAACACATCATACATTTACAGGTTCCTACCTAGAAACCCAATAAACCTATGATGCATCATTTATATGTCTTGCCTTACCAGCCCTTGTTTCTCTGATGCTCAACCCCCTGGCACTCAAAGAAAGAGAAAGCTCCTGAACTCACATTTTATTCAACGTAGAATCCAGAAAACTGCTCATCACTCTCATCCATACGATAGTTCTTGTCCTCGTCTGTGTCTGATGATGAATGACTGCTTTCATATGTAGCCTTTTCCTCGGTTTCTTCAATCCATATCCTTAATTTATTCTTCAAATAAGGCCATCCTGCCAACTTGCCTCTCATGGCCTTCTTCTTCTGTAGCATCTTCAGTAGGGTATCTTTCAACTTGAATTCAAGGAAAAATATAAAACTGAACGAAAAGTATATATAAGTATAAAAGTATCTTTCAACCTGAATTCAAGGGAAGATTATTAGGAAAACTGAACTAAAAGTATATATAAGTATAAAAGTATCTTTTAACTTGAATTCAGCACTGCACAAAAATATTTTGAGACGTTTATTTGCAAAATGTAATCTGGTGTAACAAGCACAAAACAATGAGCTCAAAGACCAGCATAAAAACTATTACAGCTGGAAAGAACTCAGGGAAGTGGTAAGTTAGATCTCCAAACAGATGTCACCACTGGAATTGGAACTTTGCACTGGCTGCTGAAGATGAGGATAAAACACTTATTTTGCAAATGCTGTGGCATTGGCCCAACAATAATACAGTAGACGTGTAGGCTATGACTCACACACAGACTAGCTCATTTAGTAGCTCAAAGAAAAAAATGTTTATAAAAAATTTATAATACTTTAGTTGATGCCATTACATACTTTTGTTAAAATAGATGTCATCAGACAAGAATGGGTTGTCCCATTTAACCTGTAGGACATCAAAGCCAACCATATCGTCAAGCGGTGCACACAACAAAACTTAGTCCACTAGGTCTCAGGCTAATGGCACTCATGGCATCCATCTAGTTAAATACTCCCTTAGACAAACTATAAAAGGCCAGCAAGTCACAGGGAATTGAATCTCGCTCAAAGGACAATAAATATGGGTGATTTTAGATATGCTCAAGTGCTTTGGTTGTTGGGTAATATTTCCCAACTGTGTCAGAGTCACAAAGCTTTGTCCATAAATTGAGGGAATTTAGGTAAAAAATGAAATATATTTTTTACATTCATAGCCTTTATTAAATTCATTACTTTATTTACATTATTTTCTTAAATTCATTACTTTTCTGAAGATGGTAATATCAATTAATCCCATCAGGGAAAAGTACTATTTGTATTACAGCTCATGCAAAACTCACAGAAGAATGTCAGTTGAGATCAAAGTCTATATTTTGTCTGTTTTTGTATCCATCCAAATATGAACTAGATAAAGAGCTTTGTTTTGTTGCTGTGGTTAATTTCAAAATGGTTTAAAGTCAAGAAAATAGTTTTGAATAAAGCTTCAATTGGATCGGTGTCAGTAGCATATTGAGTGGAGAGAGGCTTATCTCATGTTCTGGTTTGCAGCATGTAAACCAAGGACTTAAACACCCACTAGTCACTGAAGAGTACTTCTACCAAGGGAAAAAACTCTTTAACAAATACAACATTATAAACCACAATCCAGTTACTGGTCATACCCACAAGATATTGTCCAAAGAACGTCAAGGTTGAAACTATCCATCATTCCCACTAAGACAGCAGTTGTGCAAGTGTATAAATGATTTGTTAATTTCTCTCTGCAGAGAGCGAGAAACCCTTTGAAAAAACCAGCCGACTGGTTCATCAGGAAAAATAGAGAAGTTGGAGAACGTTTGCATGAAATGGAAATTCAAGTTCAGGAGCAGAAATTGAGAGACATTCGAACAGATTTTGAGACAAGCGGAGAAAGACGTATTCTGATAACAAATGTTAAAAGCCATGTAAAAACACTGATGGATGCTAATGAATGCACACTGGAGTGTAGACGAGAAAAGTAATATAAATGTCTGTTTACATATGTGTAGATTACCTTGTAATGAGCACTTGTTTGTATATTACAGGCTTTCATTAGTGAAACCTTTGCTGTCCATGTGTGACATGGACAAACAGCAAACAAGCTGAATAATATTTTCTTACAGCAGAGAGTGGTTTTTGGGAAGAATTCAGAGAATATGATAGAAAACCAAATGAAGCTGTCCTCATCAAAACAGATTAAAATCATTAACTTATTAGAGCAATTAGACTTAGACAGACAGAGTCTTTTGTGTGTGTGTGTAGGGACATATTACGATCCCACTGTGGGTTCCATGGTCCCATTTTGGGAGGGAAGAAAGGACAGACCCGCTGCCTCCCTTGGTGGTGTTGTACAAGGTGACTAAATAGGGATTTTTTTTTCTTCAGAAATCGAAGCATATATGCCTTAGCAGCAAGGAACCAAGTGTATCCAAGCAAGTAAACTAGTGAAAACACATAGAATACAAGTTCTGGAATAAGACTAAAGTCCAGAAGTGGATGAACAACCAGAACTGTCCACCAGAGTTTACAGTCAGTCAACGTTAAGAAGAAGGAGGAGAAGGAACACGTTATGAGAAGGAATGAATTGGAGAACTTAGTAACAACTCTTAATAATAACTCTTAGTAACAACTCTTAGTAACAGCTCTTAGTAACAACTGGCAAAAATGATGAAAAGAGAGCAAGTGAAAAGCAAAAAGATAAATACCTGGATGGCTTTTCGACAAGAATGGGAGCGAGACAAAACATTGACCTTATTTATCCATGAATCGGATGATCATGTATGATGATGAAATATGACGTCCGATGCTAACCGGCACGGCACATGATGGTGATGATTAAGGATATAATTTCAACTGTTCGTTTATGTATCTAAATAGCATCTAAGATTATTCTCAATTAAAATTAATAACAAGAAAGGATTACAAATAAAGTTATGTGATCACATGACACATGTATATGCAGAAATAAGTTATTTGCATCCTAGTGATGTTTGGTGGAAGCAATTTTCAGAGGCCACTACACATGAACATAAAACCCAATTTAAATTGTTTCAAAGGATACTAAGTGCTACTCAGTTTTTTTAAAGTTTAACTTTTAATTAAGAATCGACATCACAGTGCTGGGTATATTCTCATAATTGCTCTGTCCCCATCTTCAGCAGCAAGTACAGTGTTCCAGTTTCGATTATACCAGTGGTAGTCTGATTGTATATCAGTCTCACCTTTTTCCCTGAGCGATGATCCTAGGCCAGACCCTCTGTATACTTCTTGCAGCACCATTCTCCTCAAACCGTGATGATCCTAGGCCAGACCCTCTGTATACTTCTTGCAGCACCATTCTCCTCAAACCATGATGATCCAACTATCTTACATTCAGCCCTTTCAAGCACTTATCTTTCATATGGCAGCTGTATTTTATACACGAAGCGTATTATATTCATATATCAAAGTTCATTGTAGGAATGTTAGTTAAGGAAGATCAAGGGGGAAACAGTGGCTCCATGTGATACAGCACTTGGCGTTTTGCAAAATCACCTTCATTTTTGTCCCAGCATATGATGATGTGAAAGGCAATGAGAGAGCAGATGCCCTGGCTGGTAGTATGACTATCAGGAATAGGCCATCTATGGACAGGACAGACATCACCAATACCATACGAGAGACTAAACACTGTGAGGTTTTCAGTTTCATGAAAAATGATTTTTCACTGAATAGTTGGCATACCCTGGGTGTACCAACTGAAGCTGCGTTACAGGAAAGCCATGCAGGAGCCACCCGTTGTTACATCAACTAGAACAGAATGGGAGTTGTTAGCCTAAAAACACTTGGAGACGTACTCAGGAGGAGATTGGAGCACTTGTCATGTCAGATGTTCAATGAAGAAGATCATTAAATGAACAATGAACTTTCACCCGGAAAGACAGACAGGTGCCAGCTTCTGTCCTAACATGACAGTTCTTCTCCTCATCAGTTTTAATAGTTTCTTGATCTTAAGATTGTGTTGTGCTTTAGGTTGCAGAACATGCTGGCCAATGAGGAAGCTTGTTATATGAAAGAAATTGAAGAACAGAAAGAGACAGTGCTGGAGAGACAAGCAAAGATGAGGGAAAGAGCAAAGTTCCTGAAGGACAAGCGAGAATCAGAGAGACTTGCATTTGCCCAACAGAAATATGACCAGCAGTTCAGGTTAGATTTCTGTGTTAGTTTATTGTATTGATTCAGAGAAAGGTGGAGAAAGGCATGCTCTGTGCAGAGTGGAGAAAGGCATGCTCTGTGCAGAGTGGAGAAAGGCATGCTCTGTGCAGAGTGGAGAACATCACTTCAGAGATTTCCGCTAGTTGGTGTTCTTTGAATAATTTCTCCTGTCTGTGCAGGTGTGTTGGGAAATGAACAGCCAGACAGACTGTATGACCAGTCAATCGCATCTGTCTCTGTAATGAACTGTATGACTGATTCTAGTCCTAGTCTTCTTATAATTTGTAGAGAAGGTGGAGAGCACAAAATGCCTATAAGGCATGTCATTAAAACAAAATACCCTTTTCTACACCTTGAGGCCTTTTTCCTTTATTGTTTTATAGACTAAGTGACATTTGATGGCTGATGTGGCCAATATCTTTACTTTTCATAATATTTTCTGGCACCTTTTTAGGCTTGGTCTCTGTTGCTAGACTATGCTACTATATAAAGTTATGAGCAAGTGAGACATGAATGATACAGATATTTAGTTTTTTTTCATGGGTACGGGGTTCCATGGATTGTGATGCATGGAGGAGGACAATTAAAAAGAGAAAATAGATAAAGGAGAAAATGTTTGCAGATAGGTTACAAGCTGAACATCCTAGAACATGTTTATTATATGTGACAGTAACAGTAGTTTAAAATCCCAAGCTCTGAATGCAGAAGAATTTTCTTCACATGAGCAGGCCTTGCTAACCACACTCACCACCACCATGAGCCCTTATTTCCCTGCCTCTCTATTGCATAATGTAACACTGTTGTCTGGAAGACAGGAAGGTGAGGTGCCAGCAACAGTTAGGCTGGATCAGCCTGAAAGCCAGTGTCAGTGGAAGAAACTCCTATCTCCACAAGGAGGACTCAGGCACATGACTTTTGTGCTGGCAGGCAAGTATGCTAGCAGCTGCACCATCATGAACCAGTAAACAAAAATGTCAGTCAGTCAGTCAAGTCAATCCAAGGACCCTTCTCCCAGCAGTGGCGTATGAGGCACATGATGACCTTCATTCGCAGATGAATTTCTCTTAGTTTTACCCCTTCACTGATCACAATACGGATAACAGAGTGCTGCTTCGCTTTGGTGGATGTGAAAAACCATAACTAAATTGTTTTTATGATGTCACCCTGTTTGTCTTCACTGTGATGTCATAAGCTTAACATTCTTGATATCCTTAACAATATTGAGAGGTTACATGACACTGGCATGGTTATTGTAATTTCTCTAACACTTTTCAAGTTTTAATTGCCAGCCCCCTGATTTTATCTGAATATGTCTCATAATGCTAATATTTTTTCTGGATACCCTCAGAGAACAATGTGAAGAACTGAGATCGGCATTAAGCAAGAAGCACTATGAAGAAATCTGCCTTGATCGTCTTGACCAGCTTCAACAAAAGGAAGAGGCTGCTTTGGAAAGGCAAGCCTACGATGATATGTATGCCAGGTTATGGGAACAGGACATGTTGGAAAAAGCAGCCAGAGAGGAACGAGAGGTCAAGGAACTCCACGAGAGAAATCGAGGCACACTAGAAATTCAGAGAAAGCAGATGGCAGCTTTAGAGGCTCAAAGACAAGAAGAAAAAAAACTGAAGGAAGAAGAAGCTCAGATTATGGTAAGTGCGAGCATTTTTAGTTTCTAAGGTGATGCTAAATATGAAAATTTGTATGTTTTTTTAAATATAAAAAGTAGAAGTGCTCACCACATAGTGACTTTTACAGTAACCCTGAAACAAATGATGGCTACACCTGTGCCAGCATTTCTTACTGTTGCTTACTGCCAGAAAAAACCTGGCTAAATATGTTACTTCTTTATTTTAAGAAATAAAAATAGTTCCTTTTCTTCTCAAAGTCCATGCCGTGTGGCGTTTGTAGTCATGTCTATCCACAAACCTTCTGTATCGTGTACTTTCAGTTAACTCTGACACAGATGATTCTTAATGCCATGATGTCAAACTGTCCAGCATGTGTTCTCTCGGTCTCCCTCTGCCTCTCCTCCCCTCTAGCTTTTCTACTGTCACAATGTACTCCAGTTTGCTCCTTCTCATCACATGACCAAAGAATTTAGATTGTCTCTTTCTGATGTGTGCAGTCAGTTCTCTTCATGCATCAGTTTCCCTCATTACTCATTTTATAAACATAATAACTAAAATAAATATGTTACATTAGTCTCATTGCAAATACTGTTGATGGATGTGAAGTGTTCAGCTTTCTTATATCTTAGGTTGGGTCATGTAGGGGCGTAGAGGTTTATCCCCCCCCCCCCCCCCCCCCAGCTTTCATATATCTTAGGTTGGGTCATGGTAATAAGGGGGTAGGGGTCAAGTAGGGGCATAGAAGTACCCCCCCCCCCCCCCCCCACCCCTTCCGAGACCCCAGAACCTACATGGGGAACTGTTTATTATCAGGAGCTCAAAACCACAACCAGTTCTCCATCAGTTTCCATAGTTACACACTACCCTGGTAGAAATGTTTGCTCCATCTATGATTTGCTGAAAGACAATGGTTGTTTTTACTGCGAGGCCAAAGCTTTTCCACAGGTTATGTATGTATATCATTATAATGATATAATATAAAGAGTAAAGACAAACAATCTTCTCTGCTTTGCTTAAATTATATCAGTGTCTGTCAACAACAAAAAATTACAGATAATGAGGTGACAAGTAATACAACAGTGGTTCAATGAAATAGTCATATTTCTCTTTGAATGTTGTTGTTGGCACCTTTCCATCTTTCCAGGCGATTATATTATATTGTGCCTTTGAGAGGCATAGAAAACCCATCCCATCCCATCATATCTCAAAACCTGAACAGTGTTATAGAGACCATGTGTTGCCCATGCAGCAAGATCCCTTTCTCAGCATGCCTTGTTTACTCAAAAGGAAAGGTATCACCATTATGTCTGAGTATCATCAATAGTACATAATCACCATCCTTCGTGTGCCATTAGAAATCACATAGAATTCACATTCGATTCCTCCAGTCCGTTCTGTTTGCATGCAACTCTTTCAAACTCTGACATGGAGTTTAGTACAGCGTTTTTGGCTTCTCGTAATAATGTTCTTCTTAATGTTTCCCTTGGACGTCTGCTCATACAGCACGTGAATTAATCACTAGCTCTCTAAAATCTGTCCAGACACTTTAGCAGTAAAGCAGAACTATCACTGGCATGGAACTGCTGTGCTATATTGCAGGATGCAGGACTGATGTTGTTATCTCTGTATCTAGTTTATGAATGCCAGAATTCACAGTGTCAGTTTGTCTTATTGTAAATCATCCTTTGTGCTTGATGTGTCTTGTGGTTTCTTCTGCGTGCTTTTTATCAAGTTTTTTGCTAGTGTTTACTGTAACCCCTATCTACTAAAGAACTCATAAAATATTTTGTTCTAGAAACTATTACTGGATGTAAAACTAATGATGTTACACATAAAATGAGTTCCTCAAATGTTGTCATTTGTAAATCTCGCTGTATTCTCAGAAAGAGCAACAGGCACTGTGGAAACTAGAGGATGAAATGAAGAAGAAGGAAAAGATTCAAAAGCAGAATGAGACAAGGGTAATGTTGGAACGAACACTAGCAGCCAAGGCAAGAAAGAAAGCAAAAGAGGAGCAGGAGCAGCTAGCATTTGACGTAAAGATGTTGGAGCAGCTTCTTCATGAATCCCATCATGAAACTGTGGAAGCCATGGAACGCAAGGTAGGTTATCTTCAACTTTTGAGTCACAGTAAGTTATTTCTTCAAACCCCTTTTATCTCCGGATGTTATGCTTAAAAACAATAAATATTTAATAATGAGGAAGTTCAATAATGGAACAGAAGTAATGAAACTAATAATTCAGATACAAAGGCTGACTTTAACGCTTGTCTTGTTACTTGTTCATGTCGAAATCCTAGCATATCAGTCTGACCAACTCATGCTCCACCCTCCGACACAGCAGCCATCTTGGTGTCTCCGTGCTCATCTTGCCCAGCTGGAGTTGACTACTGACTTGATCCCACAACCAGTTTCTGCTCACTTGTTCTCATTGAATATCCATTTCCAAGAGCTGGTTCATCATCTCTGACCCATTTATCTCATTGTTTCTGGAATGGAACACATTCAGTATGTCTGCCCTGTCCCCTTTTCTTACTTCACTAACTTCTGCAGACACATCCAGTCTGTCAGCTCTTTTGTTTCCTTTTAGCCCATTTAAAACTTGTCTGTGATAGGAGATCATACAAGAACCCCATGTGGTCTCTGACAGACCAAGATACGTGTGGTGAGCCGCTTGGTAGTGAGAGAGTTAAAATAATAGTTTGACTCGTTTACACCCAATCCAATGAAAGAAGCTTGACCATCAGAATGAGGCTGGTGTATAGACCTTTATCTGAACCGACTACTTTCGTATCATCTTCTTGTGGGCTGTATTGCAGAGTTCTTTCCCTCTCCAAACTCAGAAACTGTAAAAGTATGCGAGAGTGGTACTGAAACTTTACATCCAAGGAGAATCATGGTAGCCTTTTATTTGGTGGTCACAGCTGGGGTCTCCATGGTAACTGGTTAAAAAATATTCACCGGGAAGTGTTCTGGGAAGTCAAGGTGGCTTTCTTGATACTGACGACATTGCCTACTGACTACCAGTATAGGTCTGAGGAGATGGAAGGCTAGCACCATGTCTAATATGCCTCAAGATCCTGAAGGTTTAAGTAAGGATTGATCTCATTGCACTGGGTTTTATCACATAAAGCTTGGTCTCTCTCTCTGCAGAACGGCTAGCCACCTGCTGAGAGTGTCACACAAAGCACAAACTCTGTAGCTCTGGTGACAGTCACACCAATCTTCGATAACACTGCACCTGTGAAATCCATTACCTTCTGAGCGTGAGGCAAGCGGCTTGACCACTTTGTCATTACCTCCCCCCCCCCCCCCCAACCACTACCCAAAAACAACTTTTATATTCCCATGATGCAACCTTGGCATAGAAATAATTCACTGCCCCCCAAAGTTGGGGTGTTTTTTAGGAAATGAGTGTTTAGGTGTTTCTTAGGAAATGAGTGTTTAGGTGTTTCTTAGGGAATGAGTGTTTAGGTGTTTCTTAGGAAATGAGTGTTTAGGTGTATCTTAGGAAATGAGTGTTTAGGTGTTTCTTAGGGAATGAGTGTTTAGGTGTTTCTTAGGAAATGAGTGTTTAGGTGTTTCTTAGGAAATGAGTGTTTAGGTGTTTCTTAGGAAACAAGTGTTTAGGTGTTTCTTAGGAAACAAGTGTTTAGGTGTTTCTTAGGAAACAAGTGTTTAGGTGTTTCTTAGGAAACAAGTGTTTAGGTGTATCTTAGGAAACAAGTGTTTAGGTGTTTCTTAGGGAATGAGTGTTTAGGTGTTTCTTAGGAAATGAGTGTTTAGGTGTATCTTAGGAAATCAGTGTTTAGGTGTTTCTTAGGAAATGAGTGTTTAGGTGTTTCTTAGGAAACAAGTGTTTAGGTGTTTCTTAGGAAACAAGTGTTTAGGTGTTTCTTAGGAAATGAGTGTTTAGGTGTTTCTTAGGAAATAAGTGTTTAGGTGTTTCTTAGGAAATAAGTGTTTAGGTGTTTCTTAGGAAATGAGTGTTTAGGTGTTTCTTAGGAAATGAGTGTTTAGGTGTTTCTCAGGAAACAAGTGTTTAGGTGTTTCTTAGGAAATGAGTTTCAGGTGTTTGTTTAGTTGTCACTAATGAAATACATGTAAATACATTTGCATGTTGCTTATCATTATATGCTTTTCAGATAATTGAGTCTCACTCAAAAGTTACATTATGTATTCTCTCTCTCTCTCTCTCTCTCTCGCTTTCTCTCTTTCACACACACGCCCACATATGATTATATTACATTTTTAAGTTTATCACTGTATGTGTTTTTTCTTTCTTTCATTTTTTGGAGGGAGGCCCCATATTAAGGGCATATTATTTTCTTCCATCCTTCTCTCCTCCTTTTCTGTCTTCTGTTTTTCTTTCTTTGTTTCTTTCTTTCAGGTTACTATTTTATTTCTTTCTGGTTTTAATTACACTTGATTCTCTATCACATTTTTATCATTTGTAGTGGTACAAAGCTCATATACTCTCTACCTGCTTATCTTTTATGTGTGTCTCACTGTCATGTTTTCAGAGAGAACTCAGAGAAGAAGACAGAAGGTACCGCGAGTATCTGAGAAAGTTGCTGGAGGAAGAAAATGCTAGACAGAAGGAGCTGGACAAATTTATTCAACAGGAGGTAGATGCAGCTTGGGAGAAACGCATGGAGCAGTGGAGAAAGGAAAAAATGGCCCGCAAACTTCTCATGAATGAGGTGATGGAGGGCAGGGCCAAGCAGCTCAAGGAGAGATGTGAGTTATTATTTATATCACTGTTTATAAATAGCTTTTAGGTTTTTCAGAAACCATCAATGATTTTTCAAGTTAGTTTTATTGAGGAATCCAGTGCCTTTTCTTCTACTGGCTATGCATCGTCATCAAGTCCTCAGCTCACTCTCTCCAAGCCCTATTTGGTTATCTCCTGCAGCTTCTTATACGTTCTTCCAGCATTTATTATTCTGTCTCTAATTATTTTTCTCACATGTTTTAGGCTGCCTTCTATTTCTTTTGCCATGTGGATTCAAGAGAAAGCACTTTGTAGTTAGGCTATTAAAAATTTTTCACACCATTTATCATATCTGATTAGAAGCACTACTTTCTTATCTCTAGATTTACGGTAGTATGAGGTGCGTTTTTTTAAAGTGTCCCGTTTTGACCGCAGCGCAAACACTGATGGAAACCGTACATGTGCATATGGTTAGGAAATGGTGTCAAATGTTTAAAAAAGGGTGAGAAAATATAAATGATGAGGATCACAGCGGTCGGCCAGGTATGGTAACAGATAAGTTGGTCTTATAAGTGAACCAAAAAAATCGGAAAAATCATTGTTTCACAATTTCTGCATTGTCTGTCTAATGTTCGGAAGTTTCATGTTCCCTGATTTACGACAGTATAATAAGAAACCTTCAAAACACAAAAAACTCATCCAAAACAAAAGACATGGGCTGCTGTCCTCTAGAATTGTGCTTTTGCACGATAATGCTTGACCTCACTTCGCAGATCTAACAGTTGTTGCAAAAATGTCACTGGGAAATTGGTGCCCACCTGCTCCGACCTGGTGCCAAGTGATAACCACCTTTTCATGCACCTAAAGAAGAGGCTGGCATCCCAGTGTTTGGAAGCTGATGATGAACTGCAGACTGGCGTTAATCAGTGGTTCAAGACACTGGCGGCAGACTTTTATGACATTGGAATTAGGAACCTGGTGCCACAGTACAACAAATTTGTTGAAGTCAATAGTGACTATGTGGAGAAATAATGTAAATGTGTGGTTCACTTTTGGCTGCAATAAATCATTTTCACTGTCTTCTATAGTTCAAAGAAAGGTCTGTAAAGCTTACATTCAACTTTTGTTTCTTTGGGTTAAATGATTGGCTGTAATGTATTGTATTCAAGGCATTCTTAGAATTAATGACCTACTGCTGAGGTTCCAATTCACATCTACACACGGCTGGAATACCAGCTAACTACTGGACGTAAATTTGCCTAGAGAAACCACACAACAGCAGGGGGCTGCTGGGGTTGGTTCTGCAACGTCCTGTAAAGGATACGCAGCTAACCTAACCTATACATGTACCAGCATCACCAGCCAGTTGATCAACTCTTTTGTTTCTGAGCACACAGCAGTGAGATGGTATCTACTGAATGGTAATTTTATGTTGATTCTTTAAGTAAAAACTATTAAAGCCAACATAAACATGTCAGCAGAATTGCTAAACAAATTATTTAGTCTGGATTTCTAAGTGAATATTTAAAAAAAAAATTAACCTATCACTATGAGAGGTTGTGACACGCCTGATAAATGCAGATGTATCGCCATTTCTGGAGCAACTTATTCTTGAAAAGGATAATTAAACGCTTGTTTGTGCACCTGTGTAGTGTTTAGAAGGCCCAGTTGTGGGCACATTCACTAAATATGTACTCAGAGAGGTTTCCTTGAGAACCCAAAAGCTTTTTAAAGCCAGGTTGATTTCACATTTTCCGGTAAACCTCAGTGATGGAGGTGACGTGAGCATGGCAGCTGATACATTTTTGTTTTAGTCCTCTGGGAATGTATTCCATGTAATGCTTCACTCTGTTCTTGTTTATTGATTACTCCCCTTATTTATTTCAAAACAAAAATTCTTTTAATGAATTTTCCACAATTTTTTACTTATCTGTGTAGCAGTTTTTCAAGTTAGAAAAAAATCCCCTGTGTTTATGACCCATGTTTTTTAAAGCACTTTTGTGGTGAAAGCCAGAAAAAAAACCTGTTTTAATACATTATGCAACTGTCATAAGAGATAAGTATAAAATATAATGTGAAGAAGTATTCTGACATTTCAGAAAGTGTATATTGTATTTTTCAGTACAAGAGAATGAACGCCTTCAAGCAGAGGCTGCAAGAGAACGAGAACAACTTCTTTATCAGATGGAAGAAAATAGAAGATGTGAGGCTGAAGAAAATGCTAGACGTTTGGAAACGGGTCTCAAGCACCAGCGTGACCTGGTTGATCAAATCTCTTGGAACACAAGAGCTAGAGATGAGGAAAGAGAACTTGAGAAAGATGAATTAAAGAAGGCACAGCAAACAGAGCTAGAGTTTCAAGCCCGTAAACAGCATGTCTTAAGCAATCCATTGATAGAAAAAATCCACCCAATGAGAAGGGCAATACTGGCTCAGACTCAACGATGTTGATGACTACATACATGTACAGGCTGTCACTTGAAGATGCATCAAATAACAAAGCCAAGTTATTATTTGTCAATATGGATGGCTCTATACAAAGAGGCAGAGGTGGTGATTTGTTTTATCTGTCCAGGCTAATTCTCAATAAGATTTATCCTTTCATGCCAGTTCATTTTGTTAGTTGTTTTTTTTAAACTGAAAAATTAATTTATAGATCTTTGTCTTCTTCTGCACTCCGAGCCCTTGAGATTCATTGCTATATATATCACCCACCTCCATTATCTCTGAATGTACAGATTATTTTACAGTTCTTGGACATTGAGTTTGTATGAAACTTTATGCCATCTGTTGTCAGTTCTGTAATATGATGATTAAGTGCCATCTCCTCCATGAAGTTGAACTGTAATGCACCTCTAACACTTTGTCTACAGTGTTTTTGCGGTGCACTGATGTTGTTCCCTCAGCTGTTCTATCCAGCATATCATTAAATAAGGAGCTTTATCTCTTTACTTGACTGATGTTTCTTGTTTTGTTATGGTTGTTCTTTCACTATCCTCAGCTCATAATGGTCAAGTGTCCAGCATTGTTGTGTTCTTAAAGGAATAACTTTTTTCCTTGTTTGTTATAAATTGTAAATATCATCTTAATTACCACTTAACTAAAGCCAAAACAGTTTTGAAAACTGGAAATAGTTCACTCTTATTCTTTAACAGTCGGTTAAAACTCAAGATATCTGACACCCGCCCCCCTACCCCAATGAGGTGCTTATAGTGTTTTGCTTGTAATTTTTGGTCAGAGCAACACTTTCCACTTTTACTGTTAAGTGTCTTGAAGAGAAACTGTCAGCGATCCATTGCAAGATGCATAGTAATGACTTTTTCCCGTGTTGATGTAGCAGCTCTTTAATGTCATCCACCCATCTTCAGTGTCATCCACCCATCTTCTTCTAGGGAAACCTCTTGCTTTCACATCAGATCTTCTAATGTGTAGCACCAGTGTTGGTAGCTGTGGCTGCATTCTAATAAGATGATCCATCCATTTTATTTTATGTCTCTCAATGAATTTGGTGCACAATGTTTTCCCCCATGTTTGATAGTATAATTTCTCACTTTGTCTCGGATGGTGGTTAAATTGGTGGTCTTTTCCTCTGGCATCTCATTCTGCAGGTGTTAATTGCATATAGATTGATAATACCCACGTTTGGTAGTACAATGTTGGCATGAATATGCTGTTATAATCCTTTTGCATTAGAGCATCCTAAAGAAATCTGGTTTTACCATAAACCATTTCCGATATAATGTTTTTGAAAGTTGGATGGTCCTGATGTTTCATAGTGTGTTATTTCACATCTTGAACATGTGAAACAAGTGGGCTGCCTTTGGGTACAGTGATGGACACAAACTCGTTTACTGCTCCCCCAAAGGTTTCATGTTGCATATGAGCTGCCTTGGCTCACACTCAACCTAACCTTGAGTGGGTACCAGGAGCAGTCCTGGGAAGTAAGAGCGGCCGGCGTGATGCTGATAGTGTCACCCACAATGCTGTTTGGCCTATAAAATATAGGTCTGGCCCTATTTGCCCAATATGCCTGAAGGTGTGGAAAAGGTTACCTTATATGAGCGATTGACCAGAATGGTGAGGTTCACATAACAATCGAAATGTCAACATATGATTGCCACTGGCCTGCCAGTTTGATATCTGAACACTTTCAGTTGCAATAAACACATAAGATGTCATTTATTATTCTCTATAAAGTAAAATGTTTTTAGAACGTGCTGATTGAATTTTTACATTTACTGTGGCTTATGTGTTTCGGACACGCCTCATAATGCCAAACTGGAAACGATTTGGCAATATTATCATTAACTGACTGACAGAAAGCAATGGCCACCTACTGAACGTAACTTTGTAAAAAATAAAAAATAAAACTATAAGAGCAACAAAAAAATGTGGGGTGTTGGTTCTACAGCCCGTAAAGGACACGCAACAAGCCTTATAATACTAAAACTGGTTTCTTTCACCAATCCACCTGGCAGTGAAAGACTTTAGCTTGCTATTGTGTTGTTGCATTTCTAAGCTCAAAGTTCGTACAATGAAAATAGAATGTATTGTTCTAGACATAGTTATTAAATTTCAAGAAAAAGAATGTTTCTCGTTATTTTGATTTTACTAAAAATTTTTATAAATTTTTAACTATATACCAGGTGGGGCCGTGGTGGCTCAGAGGATATTGCTTCAGCCTTCCAGCCTGATCGTCATATGTCTGAATCACTGGAGGTGACCTTGACTTGCAGGTCAACACAGCCTAAAAAAGGCATCAGGATTGTTTTATAAGAAGTGGGATGGGATGACACTGACCACATCAGATATCATTAGAATTTGATGGATGATATGACCAGAATCACCCCAGGTGTCTTGACCTCACAAACATTTCCTGGTAACCATTTTAGTTTGGCTCAATTTCAAGTCCAGGTCAACTTTTTGATAATCACCTCAACAGGGATTTGGAACTCATGGCCAACAGGCAGTCGTGCTGGCCACTGTTACACCATAAATTCCATTTATCTTTTTATTATAATTTTTGGGTGGTAAAATTAAAAACTTTATTAATTATTAAACTATACTGAAGACAGTTTAATGTGTTTTCTCATTTATTTTGTGTTGTGTTTAGGAGAGGGCTGTTTGAATAGTTTTGTGAGGTGTGGTTGTGTTTAGGAGAGAGCTGTTTGAATAGTTTTGTGAGATGTGGTTGTGTTAAGGAGAGAGCTGTTTGAATAGTTTTGTGAGATGTGGTTGTGTTTAGGAGAGAGCTTTTTGAATAGTTTTGTGAGATGTGGTTGTGTTTAGGAGAGAGCTGTTTGAATAGCTTTGTGAGGTGTTGTTGTGTTTAGGTGAGAGCTGTTTGAATAGTTTTGTGAGATGTGGTTGTGTTTAAGAGAGAGCTGTTTGAATAGTTTTGTGAGATGTGGTTGTGGAAAGTTAAGCCAGTTTTTTTTAGTCATGTTCTACCTTTCAGTCTCAGGTTCTGAAGTGACATCGTGTGCGAGCCTTGGTAGGTGTTGCATAGATACTGGTATTTACGGCCTCAGATACTCCATCTTTCCATGGCTTGTGTGATCAACCTCTAGTTCTGCTTCCATTATGTCGAAGCCACTGGGCTCTCTGTGGTGCACTTGTGGTAATCTTGAAACATGTCCGAACCATTTGATCTGTTCTCCCTTGATGTAGTTTAGTACTGGTTCTGTCCCAATTTCTCTCCTCATACCGTAATTTCTGATTCTGTCTCCTTCTAGTTACATTTGAGATTTGTCAGACATTTTTCTTACGTTGTTTAAGACGTTTCTTTTTTCTTGTGTTGTTAATGTCCATATCTGGTACTGTACGACAATGTTACCCGACTCATGACTATGTGATGTATACTGACACTGTGTGATGTATACTGACACTGTGTGATGTATACTGACACTGTGTGATGTATACTGACACTGTGTGATGTATACTGACACTGTGTGATGTATACTGACACTGTATGATGTATAGAGACACTGTGTGATGTATACTGACACTGTGTGATGTATAGAGACACTGTGTGATGTATACTGACACTGTATGATGTATACTGACACTATGTGATGTATACTGACACTGTATGATGTATACTGACACTGTATGATGTATACTGACACTGTATGATGTATACTGACACTGTATGATGTATACTGACACTGTATGATGTATAGAGACACTGTGTGATGTATACTGACACTGTGTGATGTATAGAGACACTGTGTGATGTATACTGACACTGTATGATGTATAGAGACACTGTGTGATGTATACTGACACTGTGTGATGTATAGAGACACTGTGTGATGTATACTGACACTGTATGATGTATACTGACACTGTATGATGTATACTGACACTGTATGATGTATACTGACACTGTATGATGTATACTGACACTGTGTGATGTATACTGACACTGTATGATGTATACTGACACTGTGTGATGTATACTGACACTTGACACTGTGTGATGTATACTGACACTGTGTGATGTATACTGACACTGTGTGATGTATACTGACACTGTGTGATGTATACTGACACTGTGTGATGTATACTGACACTGTGTGATGTATACTGACACTGTGTGATGTATACTGACACTGTGTGATGTATACTGACACTGTGTGATGTATACTGACACTGTGTGATGTATACTGACACTGTGGGATGTATACTGATACTATGTGATGTATACTGACACTGTGGGATGTATACTGACACTGTATGATGTATACTGACACTGTATGATGTATACTGACACTGTATGATGTATACTGACACTGTATGATGTATACTGACATTGTATGATGTATACTGACACTGTATGATGTATACTGACACTGTATGATGTATACTGACACTGTATGATGTATACTGACACTGTGTGATGTATACTGACATTGTATGATGTATACTGACACTGTATGATGTATACTGACATTGTATGATGTATACTGACATTGTATGATGTATACTGACACTGTATGATGTATACTGACATTGTATGATGTATACTGACATTGTATGATGTATACTGACATTGTATGATGTATACTGACACTGTATGATGTATACTGACACTGTATGATGTATACTGACACTGTATGATGTATACTGACATTGTATGATGTATACTGACATTGTATGATGTATACTGACACTGTATGATGTATACTGACATTGTATGATGTATACTGACACTGTATGATGTATACTGACATTGTATGATGTATACTGACACTGTATGATGTATACTGACACTGTATGATGTATACTGACATTGTATGATGTATACTGACATTGTATGATGTATACTGACACTGTATGATGTATACTGACACTGTATGATGTATACTGACATTGTATGATGTATACTGATACTGTATGATGTATACTGACACTGTATGATGTATACTGACACTGTGTGATGTATACTG